GCGTCAACCGAAGAAAACAACTCGGAGAAGAGCTCTGGATACACTCACACGAAGTTTGCTAGACTCCGTGGAACTTGCGCGCAGGGAAGGGGTTCGTCGAGGGATCGCTCAGCGATGGGGAGAGGCCAGAGGTTGATCAGACCCCTATAGCCTTCTTAAGGTACACGCTGGGTCCAATAGGCTCCGCAGCGCTTAGAGTTCTTCACCAGACGTGAAGTCCTCCTCCTCCAGATGGTTGTGGAGTCCTCCATTGCGGGGTTCTCCTTGGAGTTCTCCAACTTGGGCAGAAACCGCTCAAGCCTCTTATACGGCTAGCAAGCCAATCGCTAGCCGCCACGTGGGAATAATTTAGAACTGGCCAATAGTGGGACACAAATTTGCATGCCGGTGGCGGGAACTCCTTTGCACCTGGGTTTTCTCTTTGCAACTGAGAAATGCACCCTGCAAAGAAAGCTCCTCGTGGCGGGAAATAATTTAGCAGTGCCGAAGCGCGCGCACACAAAATCACACCCTTGGGTTGTGACACTGAGAAGCATGACCTTTAAAATATTAAAAATAGTTCTAACTTATGCTAAGAAAATAACCTATGCTAAGTATATGGAGTCGACTTATGCTAAGTGTAAAAATTAAATAATAATTGAACAGTGTAAGCAGCGACTATAAAGCTTTATTTTAATTTTGAATGATTATGTATAATTTAAGGCCCAACAAAGATCACTGGGCCCCTGCCCACCTTCCGTTGTGCTACCAGGAGTTTTATACCTTTTAGATACCTCTGAGTAGGTTGATGCTTTATATCTCATACAGCCATTCTTCTGTTTTTCTGGGTGACAAAAGCCATCATCTATTGAAGGCTTCTGCCTGGAGTGCCTTCTTGATACTAAATGTCCACCTTCCCTGTTCCTTCAAGGTCCCCTCAGAACGTTTGAGTCCTTTGGATCCATTCCTCAAATCCCAAATGGGAACTGAGTGAAGAGTAACCAAGCATAATCACCCTTCATGCACTTCCCCAAAACAGGATATCAAGGTCCCGCACCTGACTTGATCTGCCGCATCCAGCGAGGGGAGGTGGAGCTCTGGGTCTATGAGGATGAGGGCCATGGAGAAAGGACATGGTCTGAAGGCCTGTCCCCAGGTGAGTCATAGCTATCATCCCCCTACCCCTGCCTTAGCACTCATAACCAGTGATGGGGAGAGCTAGAACCCTGCAAACCTGCTCTGAGCTGCCATCCAAAAGCACTGACCTTGGACAACTTTCCCTGATCTGTGTTGTCAAGGCATGTACGTGTTCCCAGTCCTTGCAATTCAATGATGTTGGCACAGACAATGATTCCCTTCTTAGGGCTGCTGGGTGATGAAATCCAAATAACCCCCTTCTCTGGAATTTGAGGCCTGGGCATCTTGATGAGGATTTCTGTAGGATGGCCAGCAGCTACACTCCAGTCCAAGGTGCCCATACCTCTACAGAGTCCTCTGATAAGGCATGATGAGGTGTATGGCCCCAGGCAGATATTCACTTAATGGCACAACAGATTCTGTTCCCTGATCCCAACAATTGTGCCTCCTGTCCTGCTACACTTGCATGGCAGGGTATGAGATTTTGGGATTGGGGATCAGATCCCAGTCATGCCATTACTACTTTCCAGAGCAAGGGGAGCCCAAGATCACAATCTTGGGCTCCCCCTGCCCTGGCAAGTAGAAATCTGTGTTGTTATACCCAAGATGTCTCTGGGGGCTTTTATTTTATCCAAAGAAGGCAAGAGAAGCCAAAGCAAGTTCTCCAAATGATACTCCTGCCTACTGGGATTTGATCAGTCAGGCAATATTAACAAGAGAAGCTACATCCAGTAGAGAATACAAAGACATTCTCAGTGCTAGGTGGCAAGGTCTCAGGGCCCTCAGAATCCGTCCACAGGGTTTAAGGAAAGTTTCAGACTCCTGCCCCTCTGTCTTGGTGTGGGGGAGTTAGATACAGTTCAGGTTCTGATTTCTGTATTCCCGCCTGTTTCTCTAAGATAAGGATCTCTTGGCCAATTGAGTAGGGAGCAGGGAAACTGAGTCATGGCCTATAACCATTTTTATTTCCTAGGGTCACCTTATTAGCATGGGGTGTGATCCCTGGCCTGTGCATCTTAACTCCCTTGAAACTGTCCCTCACCATCTGCTTCTCTCACATTCTAATGATTATGATTCAGACTGAGCTGCTTTTGTGATCAGAGGATTTGGGAAGTGGTATGTAGTGACACTCCCAGCACAGCCAAAGGGGTGAGGGGTGTTCAGGACTCCCCAGCTATGTCCAGTCAACAGGTGTGGTCTTGGGGTTGAGGCTGACAGTCGACTGATTGTTGGTCGCAGCTTTGAAACTGTACTGGAGCCCATCCCACAGCCCTGACATACAGCTGGGACCCTGCCACACATTCAGTTAATGGGGTCATGGAAGCCATCCACAAAATTATTACACACGTTTTGTGGCTTAGCTCATTTAATCATGCTACTGCTTGCCTGAATCTGTGGCTGGGTTGCTATTTTAGATTAAATTAACTGGCTAGAGACCCCGAGTCCACATGGAAGTTAACCTCCAAAGTCTTTGTTCCGTTGCAGGTTCTTCTAACACAGAGGACACCTGGTACTTGTTAGAAGAGGAAAATTCCATGGATTTATTCCTCAGATCAGGCACTTCTCTACACGCAGGTAGGAAGCAGAGCTTTGATTCTTCCAGAATGGAAAGCTAGAAATCTTATATCAGGCCTGGCTTCTAATCTTCCCCTTTCAGAAATGTTTCCTTGTGGGACAAGGGCTGACATCATTTGGGTTTTATTTCTAAGACTAGCAGCCCTTAGAGCTTGCTTATACCACAGCAGCAATGTTGTATCCCAGAGAGAACTATGCTCAGCATTCCCCACACAGCCCTGCCTGCTGTCGCAGGAGACCTGAAAGTTTGCCAGCAAGGCTACTTCAGACCTGTTGTCAGGTACTATTCTTAGGACTGCCAAAGACTCATAACTGATGAGCAAGTACTGGGGAGGAGCCCCAGGCAGACTCACAGGTTCACTTATTGAGTCTAAAGCGTGGCAGGACTCTTCTCCAGTCCCCCCAGTGCTGTTGTATAGACGAGCCCTTAGAGAGCCTCATTCTTCCTCTGGTCTCACCCTCAGCCCTAGTTGGCATAGAACCAGTCCGATCATTTGCTAGTGCACGTATGCCACCTGTGTCTCCTTTTAAGAAGTCCAAAGCAGTGTAGTTCTCGCTTAGACTGGGTTTTGGTTTGGGACAGAACCACTGGGAAACTGAAACTGAAATTTACTAGGGTACTAGTGAATTCATGCACTGACCTGCTCCTCCATCCCTTGCAATGTGGCCACTTAGCATTTGACCTCTTGAGTATTCAAGTGCCTAGACCTGGCCCTACTCTGGGGTCTGTTTGGGACAGGGGAATAGCTGTGCACAGGAGCTCATCTGTGGTTGTCTTCTCTATCCAGCAGGTGCCAGGATACTGAACCCAGCTGAGGAGGAGCCTGAACCAGTTAGAAACCAGCTCCCTATGCAATGCGCACAGAAAACCATTGAGCCCCAAAAGAGCCCTGTGCAGAGAGACCCGAGGAGCCATGAGGACAACATCCATAGCAGGGAGGTGTTATATATCTGTGGGGAATGCGGAAAGAGCTTTAGTGATGAACAGGAGCTTGAGTTGCATGGACGGACTCACAGTAAAGTGCTGGCCCACTCCTGTGGCCAGTGTGGAAAGAGCTTCAGGTACAGATACCGCCTTGTGGAGCACCAAAGAACACACTCTGGGGAGCGCCCCCATCTCTGCCTGGAGTGTGGGAAGACCTATGCCCGTCTGGACCACCTTCGCGTCCACCAGCGTGTGCACACCGGGGAGAAACCGTACCGCTGCACCCAGTGTGAAAAGAGCTTCAACCACCTATTCCACCTCCAAGTCCACCAGCGTGTGCACACAGGGGAGAAGCCATACCACTGCAGGGACTGTGGGAAGAGCTTTAATGACCCATCCTACCTCCGTGTGCACCAGCGCCTGCACACTGGGGAACAACCATACCACTGTGCCGTGTGTGGAAAGAACTTCTCCCAGAGCTCTTCACTTGCCAAGCACCAGCTTGTCCACAGCACAGAGAGGATGCACCACTGTGGGGACTGTGGGAAGAGCTTCAATAACCCATACTACTTCCGTGTCCACCAGCGCGTGCACACAGGGGAGAAGCCACACCCTTGCCCCCAGTGCCAGAAGAGCTTCAACAACCTATCCTACCTGCGTGTCCATCTTCGCCTGCACACCGGGGAGAAGCCGTATGGCTGCAGTGAGTGCGGACGGAATTTCAGGCACAGAACGTCCCTCATCAACCACCAACGCGTGCACACGGGGGAGAAGCCATACCGCTGCAATGAATGTGGAATGAGCTTCCGGATTAGCTCATCTCTCACCAACCACCTGCGTGTGCACACTGGAGAGAAGCCATATGGCTGTGCCGAGTGTGGAATGAGCTTCCGGCATAGCTCCTCCCTCACTGATCATCAGCGTCTGCACACAGGGGAGAAGCCCTACCACTGTGTGCAGTGTGGGCTCAGCTTCCGGCATAGCTCCTCTCTCACCAACCACCAGGGAACCCATGGACCAGCCCCTCACGACTCGCATGGGTCCATTTCTGCCACCTCCTCCTCTTCCCTGCAGCCTGTGCCCTGTGGGAAAATGTCCAGTGCCTGTCCTGAAATGACCTTGTCTCTTCATTCCTCTGGCACTGAGTTTGCATGGTTGTGAGGATGCAAGGTGGTCTGCCAGGAGTCTAAATAGGTCACAGTTGGATTTACAAGTCACATCTGGGCCAGAGAATACAAATAAGCTTAGGGCTGTGCCAGATGGGTCCTAGTTTCTCCTGGGTCAGTTGTCTGTGTTGCACCTAAGGATGCCCTGTTGCATGGCTTGGCTCCATGGCAGACACAGAAACCATTTATTTTACTTTGTGTTCAACTTCTTTGGAACTTAATATTGTGCAGGAGGGAGGAGGAGTTGGGGGTCTGTCATGGGGTGGGGGGGGATATAGCTGCAGCTGCTCTGCTGGAGATGGGGTGCAGGCTTGGGAGGAGAAGGGAGCAGTGGCGGTAGTAGTTAGGAGGGGAGCATGAGGGTGGGGTTCAGAAATGTCTCTTGTCTCTGGATGAGAGTGGTGGTTAGGATCTGTGGCAGCATTTGCTTGCATTAAGCAGGGGGTTGGAGCTCTTGCATTCTGGAATATTGTGAGGAATCCTGCGTGTTGGCTGCTTATTGTAAGCTACTCTGAGCCTTTTGGCTATGGCAATATGTGAATCTAATAAATAAATTGCTGTTGTCAGCCTTCCTTGGGAGGGGTTTCTCCCTGTGCTACTGCCAGGAAAGCAGCTTCCCATGGGAAGACTCAGGCCCCCTGCATTACAGTTTCTCCTGTTGCCTGTAGCCATGCCCAGCAGTGTAGATGTGGCCTGGACCAGCGGAGAGATTGGCTGCACTGCCTTACAGATGACCTGGGCTGAAGCAGAGCAGCACTGTCCTCTGTTGGCAGAGTTATATTGATGACAGGGACTTTGCTAGAGCTGCTGGTTCAGTGGGAGAGGAGGTTTGAAAAGCTTCACATGCCTGCCCGAGCTAACCATGTGGGCACAACCCATGTCCCCAGCACCTGCTCCACTGCTTTGCCTCCTCCATTCCCTCCCAGTACATAAGAAAGACTATGGACTGGGTCAGACCAGAGGTCCATCTTGCCCATCATATGCCCTTGCAAAGCTAAAGTACTCTTCCCCTGCGTTCTCAGCCAGGAACATCAGGCTCTCACTGGCCTCAGACAACCAGTTCCCCAAAGCATTCCCCTTCTCAGCCTCTCCATCAGGGTCTGGCCCAAGCCCTTCCTGCCAGCTCAGTTGAAGCATTGTGTCCATGGGACCTGGAGCAAGTGAGGGGAGTGGGGCCAGAGAGGTGCTGGGAGCCCTCACAGGTGCTGGCTTTAGGGAAGATGGTGGAGGGACATTGCCTTTAAGGGCCCTTCAGGAAGGAATGCTTGGCGATGCTGTGTGGGAGACTCGCAGCTGTCCTGGGGGCAGTGAGAGGAAGCAATCAGAATGCTGAGATATGTGTCCTTCTGCCAGGCTGGCTGAGAGGCACCAGCAGGCACAACCCCTCAGGTCCAGTGTTTGTTCCCCAAAACAGCCTAACGTGGTTTCTCGAGCCAGCCAAGATGGTGAAGATGATGGAGGCTTCTCTTTGCATCCTGATAGAGCTGAGCTGGTTCATCCCCTCTGTGGCAGACTCTACCAGGTCCTGTCTGACTTCTGCTTCCCATGTTGGGGATTCTTAGGGCTACCCACCCAGAGGAGGTCCCTCCATGGCTTCCCTGATACTCCCAGTCCAGCCAGGCCCCTCTGGGAATGTTCTTTGGCTTCATCTGGAAGTGCTGCCTAAAGCGCTTTCCAAAGCAACTTTCCCCTCCTTGCTGCTCAGGAGCCTACAGAGTCCAAATGCTACCCAGGCCCATGCAACATGCAGGGGGCCTTGGGGAGTCTTTTATCTGGAGAAGCACAAGAGAAGTCAAAGCAAGTTCCTCTCAACTAGACACCAGTTTATGGGGATCCGATCACTTGAGCAACAGGACCAGCTCGTGGCTGGGTGACAAGGTCTCAACTCTCTTTCTACCCTCTGCCTTGGTGTGGGGGAGTTTGATATACTTCAGGTTCAAATCTTTTCCCACCCAATTCTCGGAGAGAACAATCTCTTGGGCAATGGAGCAGGGAAGCCAAGTTGTGGCTTGTGATCACTGTTCTTTCCTGGGAGTGCTTTATTAGCATGGGGTGTGATTCCTGGCCTGTGCCTTTCAGCTCCCTTGAAACACCCTCCCTTACCACCCACTTCACTCATGCTCAGGGTTGTGATTCAGACTGGGAGAAGGAATGCATTGGCACACCCAGTGCAGCCAAAATGGGTGAGGAGTGTTCAGGACTCCCCAACACCTGCATCTGCTCAGCCTCCTCTTGCCTACCCCACGTAGGGCCCAGCTCCATCCCAGAGGCATGGGGAGACTGGAGGAGGACATGGAGCCTGGTTCAGAGCGGAGATGGAGTGGCAGCCAGGATGGCTGTGCAGCTAGACCAGGTCTGCTGGATGTTTTTAAATTCTTATCATTTCCATGGAGAGGGGGAGAATGCTGCCCTTGCACACACGGACTGCTGGCAGAGAGGGGCCTGGCTTCTCCAGGATGGACCTGATGTTACCTTGTGGCCTTGAGAGCTGTCTACTGGACCCCTTGTTGGGCAGGAGGGTATCAAGGGAGCAGCTGAGTCCTGGTTACAGGGACATAGAACTGACCAGGACTGTTTGTCCCACCAGGGCCATCCCTCAGGCCAATCATGAAAATGGAAATGGGCCTGGAAGGGACCTCCAGAAATCACATCTAATCCAACCCCCTGCCTGAGGCAGGATCAGCCCCTATATCATTGGATTTATGGTACATTATAACCTGCCTAGCATCTGATAACCCCAGGTAACCTGTCTGCATTTTACCAGCTACAATCTATCACCAGGTGAACATTCCTCCTCCCCACCCACCCCCTGTCTCTCACCTATTGTCTCCCATGCTCTGATCCTCACTGCCACGCATTTGCATTTTCACATGCCTGTATTTTGCATATTGGCTTCTATTCTACCCAGGAGAGCACACAATTCACTAGCAGACTCTCTCTATGCCTGGAGAAGGGTGTTTGTGCCCGAAAGCTTGCAAAGAACAATTTTCCCAACTATTTAATTGGTTTACTACAAGATATCACATTTACCCAAAGAACCTTGTCTGCCAATGTCCTTAGACAAACACGGCTACAACCAACAACCCCTCTGCCCCATCAGATTGGTATGAACTGGGGGCTTTTGCCTTCCTCTGTAGCAAGGGGTATAGCCCTCTACCCTGGACCTCTTAAGTGGATATTGGCAACATTTCATAGAAGCAGGTCATTGTCTGCCGTGGTTCCCCTGCTTTACCTGTGGCAGATCTGAGGGTGGTGTCTTGTGTTGTGTCAGGTTTGACTGTAGCCTTATGGAGAGTTTAGATCAGAGGTGGGCAAAATGTGGCTCATGGGCTAGATGTAACCTGCCAGGCCATTCTATCTGGCCCACAGGGGCCCTAAAAATTTTAGAAAATTAATATTTATCTGCCCCTGGTTGCCTCTCATGCAGCCCTCGACAGTTTGCCAAAACTCAATAAGTGGCCCTCCACCCGAAATAATTGCCCACCCCTGGTTTAGATGATGGATCTGTGAGCAGGGGCAGCAAACAGGACAAGCAGTTTGCAGGTAGTTTGCCCCCCACCACTCCCTTTGGGAGGAGAGCCTTTCAGCTTGGTGTGAGGAATCAGGGAAAAGGAACCCTTTGGGGCCAAGGAACAGTAAACAGGCCGGCAGCTTTCAGGCAAGTTCACTAGGGAAGGTGTGCTTGGAAGAAGGGCAGTAAGATAGAAGAGGCAGATTAAGAGACGCAGGGAAATGCCTGGAGGACGTCTCAGTGTCAGAGCTGCTGCCACTGCCTCTGCTTGCACCTGTAAGGTTTCTGTCCAGGCAGGACCACTCACCATTATGGCTCCCACCCACGTCCAGGTTTGGTGCTGTAGGGGCTGCGACTTGCAGGTTTCGTCTAATGACAGCCGGGTGGGGGAGTGCCTGCGGTGTGAGTGGTGTCTTCTGGTGGTGTCTCTTGTGGGGGGCAAGCAAGAGAGCTACAGGAGGAGGTGGTGAGGTTCTGCAGCATCTTCCGCCATGAGGAGTTCATTGATTCAATGCTGGAGGAGACCTCTGGGACCATGAAGGAAGACATGCCAGAGGCAGCACTAGAGAAGGGAGAGGATATGGATTTCCAGGAAGATGGAAGCTGGAAGGTTTTGACCTCTGGCAGCAGGCAGACAGCTTCACCTCCACCTGCAGCAATTTGTCTGGAGAACAGACATGCAGCCCTAGCAACAGAGGGTAAGAAACATGTTCTATTGGTGGAGGAGGACAGGCCAGGCCTCCTCAAGGTGGGAAGGATCAAGGCCAGCACCACCAAGAAGCAGCAATGGATGGTGGTGCCTGGAGACTTCCTTCTGCAGGGGATAAAGGGATCCATCTGCTGACCTGACCCATTGTCTCAGGAAGTTTGATGCTAGCCCAGAGCCTGGATCCAAGATGTCACAGAGGAATTACCAAGACTTATCTGGCTCTCTGACTACTACCCCATCCTGCTCATTAGGCCTGTGCGAGTCAGCAGTGATTTGATCTGGCTTCAGATCCAGCTGCTTCAGATGGCCTTGCGTGTTCAGGTGCAGCGGGGTGACAGCTGCAGGGATGGTGGCCCCTGCTGTGACGCCTGCCAGCTGTGGAGGAGATCGGTGCGGGGGGGTTGTGGGGCCCTGCACCCTTAGCTGCTGACAGACAAAACTCTTGCCAAGACTGCGTCTCTCTTGGGGCAGTTGATTGTCTGTGTTGATTCTTTCCTCTCCTTAGCCTGGTTTTGCAGGTGCTAATTGATGCTCGTTAAGTCGCTATGTAGTAGCTAGGTCCTGTGTATTGAGCTGGGCCCTGAGTGAATCGTGATTGATTGATCGGTAACTGGGAACACAGCAGCTTAGCAGCCAGGCCTGCAGCAGTGTCTCCCCTCCCGGCCCAAGACAGACACCGTCAGTCCCACAGCACCCATGGCACCAGTTTGGCTTGTCCACAGCTTGAGGGCAGTTCCCCCCAAACCCCTGCACTGATCTTCTTGAAACTTGGCAGTTTGAGTTCAGGATCCTGAGGAAAGGAAGGATGGAGAGCAGCAGAGTAAGGAGCCTGGACTTCAGAAAAGCAGACTTCAACTCACTGAGGCAGAGATGACCATAGTGGGGTGCAGGGCCCAGAGCAAATCAGTCTGTGCCCTTTAACACTGTGAGGGGCAAAGTCACAGCTGCTCCATCCAGCTCCCACCCAGCTCTGCAGGGCCCCCCAAAGTGCAGGGCCCAGGGCAGTCGCTCCAATTCTCCCCCACAAAGACTGGCCCTGCACTCGGGGACCTCATGGGCAGGATCCCCCGGGAATTCAGTCTGAGTGGGGAGAGGAGTCCAGGAGAGCTGCCTGTACTTCAAAGCCTGAGAGTGCAGGAACAAATCATCCTGATGTGCAGGAAGACTAGCAAGTATGGCAGAAGACCAGCTTGGCTTAGCAGGGAACTCTTCAGTAAACTAAATCAAAAAAGGAAGCTTATAAGAAGTGGAAACTTGGACAAATAACTAGGGAGGAGTATAAGAATATTGCTTGGGCATGCAGGGAGGAAGTTAGGAAAGCCAAAGCATGGTTGGAGTTGCAGTTAGCAAGAGCTGTGAAAGGTAACAAGTACAGTTTCTACAGATGTGTTAGTAACAAAAGGAGGATCAAGGGAAATGTGGGTCCCTTACTAAATGGGGGAGGCAAACTAGTCACAGAGATGCAGAAAAAGCTGAAGTACTCAATGCCTTTTTCAGCTCACTCTTCATAGGCAAGGTCAGCTGTCAAACTACTGCACCGGGCAGCACAGTTTGGGGAGGAGGTGAGCAGCCCACAGTGGCAGAAGAACAGGTTAGGGACTATTTAGAAAAGCCAAATTGTACGAGTCAAAGGGGGCAGATGGGATACACTGAAGGGTGCTGAGGGAGTTGGCTGTTGTGACTACAAAGCCTGCCATCATCTTTGAAAACTAACAGAGAGGTCCTGGATGATTGGAAAAGGGTAATATAGTGCCCATATTTAAGAA